AGAGAGAGAGAGAGAGAGAGAGAGAGAGAGAGAGAGAGAGGGAGAGAGAGAGACCAATTAGCTAATAAAAGTAAATGGAATTATCCTAGCTTTTGCCCTCTGCTTCAATGATTCTTCTTGTCCAAGTCAGTTAGGTATGCTTGAGATCATTGTTTGTTTTAAACAAAAAAGACACCAAGGACTCTGTTGTCTCACTTTTTTCATTTCTATCATAGGATAAACCCAATCTGTCCTGATTTATCACGTATAAGTTTGTATTGGGGGTAAGTTAACAAGTCGATTAGGTGCCTAGTTAATAGGTAGATAGAGCTCAAGTAGACAAGCCTTTGTCTGAAGTCTTTTCTTTCCTCCTCTGGGAAGAATTACTTTCTCCTCTCCCTCTCTCATTTTTTTTTTTTTAATTTTCAGAAACATGGATTCAGACACCTTGCAATTCTTCCAGAATGAACTCATCTGCTCCATCTGCATGAACTACTTCCTAGACCCCATCACCATAGACTGTGGGCACAGCTTTTGCCGCCCCTGCCTGTGCCTGTGCTGGGAGGAAGCCCAAACTCCAATGTGCTGCCCTGAGTGCAGGGGAGTATCAGAGAAGCCAGATTTCAAAACCAACATCGTACTCAAGAACCTGGCTTCGCTTGCCAGACGGGCCAGAGCTCCCCACGTCAACAGCTCTGAGGAGCAGATCTGTGTGGCACACAAAGAAGCGAAGAGGCTCTTCTGTAAAGTGGAAAACAGCCTGCTCTGTGAGCTCTGCTCTCAATCCCCAGAGCATGTGACTCACAGCCATAGCCCAATACAATGGGCTGCTGAGGAATGCAGGGTAGGTGACGCTTCCAAAGCAATGGGAAAGCTATAGGCTCCTAAATCAGACAGATAGATGAGGACAATGATTAGGAAGGTGATGAGAATGGAGATGGTAGAGGTGGTGATTTTTCCACATAAATGCCAAGATATAAGTGTATCCTCACAATGCTGTTGACCAATTTGAACACTATAATCGGAGCCATGATGAGCCTTTAATAAGGGAGGTTTCGTTAGAAATATTGTTCAAATATGTAGAATCTGCAATTGTGGGCCTGGTGTTTAGAATAAGGAACACTTGTTTCTGATGCAAGTTTGACTTCTTCATAGTCAGGTTATGTAAAAATCTGAGTGTAAACTTCTCAGGAAATGGATTATATGATCTGTAGGGTCCCCCCAAAGGCTCGATTGCATGTTTCTGTCCCAAATATTACAATTAAATTAATGTGATAAAAATCAGACCTTTCCATTCTAATTCAAAGTGACTTTTTTCAATGACCCCCCTCTTACGTAAAGAAGGGGATGAAGTTTATAATCTCATCTTCTGTGTCGCTAAAGCTTATGGTTATTTTGCAGGAGAATCTTGTAATGAAAATGGGCTCTTTATGGAATATGTCTCAAGGAATGCAAAAGAGCCTAATGCAGGAAACAAACAAAACCCAGTCATTAAAGGTAAGAACAAACATGTTCTGCTTATTTTTATGCAGAGTGATGAAATGCTGGCTTAGACTTTTGGCTAAATTCCAGTTATCAGTTAAAGGATAATTGTTTCTGTTCAGGAAAATGTAATGCTTTCAAGTGATGTATCGGTAATCACAAATATACTGGCCAATACAAGTTAGTGCAAAGAATGCTAATCCAGCTGACCCTTGAACGACAAGTCAGGTTAGGGTCCCACAGGTTTACAGTCAAATATCCACGCATAACTTTGACTCCCCTGAAACTTCCTTGTCCCTTGGTATCTGCGGAGCATTGGCTCCAAGACCCCCATGAACCCCAAATCCAGAGATGTTCAAGTCCCGTGTATAAAATAGCTGAGAACAATGGAGAACAATGCACATGTCAGCCCTCTGCATGCACAGATTCCCAGCCTTGGATCAAAAATCCTGTTCTTGATACACCATTGGTTGAATCCATGGATAGAAAACCCTCAGATACAGAGGGCTGACTGCATATTTACAGTATATTAAAAAAAAACTAAGTATTAGTGAATGCTAACAGTTCAACCCATGTTGTTCAAGGGTCAACTGTGTGTGGCATAATCCAGGCTTGATACATATTCTTAGTTCAACTTTCTGGGGTTGGATACACCTTTTCAGAAACTGAATATAAGACAATATTACACTAAGTTTGGCTGTGAAGGAGAGGACAGAAATAAAGAAGTACCTAGAAGAAAATCAGAGAATTGTTTTAAAAATCTGTGTAATATGGTATATACCTAAATATTTTTAAATATGCAGAAAAATCGGGCAAAGGAAAAAAGAAAAAGAAGATTAAGATAAGAGAGAAAATAATTGATGATGTAAGAAGCCTAAAGAAACATCATAGATAGAGTTTGGGACCCCTTAGGGGACTCAGTTTAACAGGAAAACACACCAAGAACATAGAGAAAAGGATGGACAGAAGGGCCAGTAAACATTCAAGACATTTTGAGGGTTGAGGTAGATGGTTGGTCAAGTAATTTCTTGACGAAGCTAAGGATATATTTGACATTTGAAGATTTCTGTTGAGAGTGAGGATACATAATCCCTTTCATTCCCTACCTCTGCAGGACTATGTGGCCTTAAGGAAGGTGATGATCAAAGCTGAATATCAGAAGATGCATCTGTTTCTCTATGAGGACGAGCACCTCCATCTGGACACAATGGAGAGAGAAGCCAAGGAGATCTTCCAACAACTCAAGGAAAGTGAATTCAGAATGATCCAACGGAAAGAAAGCCTGAAAGAAATGTACAGAGAGCTGATTGAGATGTGCCACAAGCCTGACGCGGAGCTGCTCCAGGTGAGAAGGGAGGGTCCATCCTCAGAGACAGGAATCTTTTGGGAGCAAGGTGTCCATGACATTGAAATGTTACCTGCACATACCATTATTCTCAGCTGAGTGATGATGCCCCCTTGACTCGTATCATTATGTTTGTTCAATCACTTATTTCCTCATATCCTGGTAATCTTTGGGAGATTTTTGCCCTAAGTAGCTAATACAGGACAAAATTATTTCAGTGTAATCAGGAGTGCCATCTACACAGACAGATTATCTAAAATCAGCACATCTCTGTGGCCAGGGGAACATTAATTTCTCAGGGGTCATTCTCTATTTATGTTCCCCTGATCCACTGTCCCTCTCTGTTATCTCCACAAAAGCAACTTGCTGAAGATACATGGGATTTTGCACATTGCCTAGGCAAGATTTGTGCAAGTTTAATTATTTTTATATGGTTCCCTGTTTTGCTTTACTTGTTATAAATGGTCAGGTCTCTCCATGGGAATAAGATGGAACAATGAGTGACATTGGAAACCTAGATTTCTTTTTTTTTTAAAGATTTTTATTGGGGAATTTGGGGGATGGGAACAGTGCTGGGGAATTGGGGAAAGGGGAACAGACAAGTTGCTGTCATTTTGTTCTTCAGTCTAGTTGTGGAGGATGTGGCTTCACTGGGCCAAGTTGGCACCATCATTGCTCTCTTCCCGGGTGCGACAGATCAGTTGCCGGCTTCTGGACGGCCGCTCACTGTGGCTACTGGCTGCTCACACTGGCTGCTGGCTACATACGGTAGCCCATGGCAACCCACTGCCACAGGGGCTGCAGCCTACGCTGTCACCGGTGACTCACGGCAGCCCAGCTCCAAGTTGAGCTGTTGTTCAGCATCTTAGCTGTGGAGGGCAGTGTCACTGGCCCTCATATGTGGGATCCGAACAGGGGCCCTCTGGCATCCCAAGCCAGCTCTTAACCATCACGCCACTCAGCCGGCCCTGAAAACCTAGATCTTATTGCATCACTTCACATCCCTGCCTGACATCCTTCCTTCCTCAATACACCCTGAAGGAAGACCCTCGTGTTTGAGTTTGAGTTCTGTTATTAAGATAGCCTGTGATGGTTCCTTAAAGGGAATAAGAAAAAATACATTATCAAAATAAATTTACTTTGAAAATCAATTTGGTTGTTTTTCAAAAGGTTAATCATAGAATTACCATATTACCTAGCAATCCCACTGCCTGATATACCAGGTGTGATCAAAACATACAGTGAATGTTTAAATAAAAAAAATTTATTACAAAAAAATAAATAAATAAATAAATAAATAAATTCTAGTGTGCAACATGACAGAATGCTCATGATTACTTTTTTTTTTTTTTTTTTGCAGGACTTGGGAAACGTATTGGAAAGGTGAGTTTACACTAATGATTTCTGATTTCTGAGAAAGTCATTGTCTATTGATGAGGTATGTTTTGAGCTATTAACATTGTGGTCTGTGGCTATTTTCCATTTTGTTTCAAAAAAGGCCCTGAGGCCTGCTCCTTGGTCTCAGAAGTTTCCTTCTTATGTGGCTGAATACAAATATACCTAAAAACCACTTAACATTCTGGGCTTTGTTCCAGACACTCAGCCCCATCCTCTGCAGCCTTATCACAATAAACAATCTGAAGCCTTCATTCTAAGTATCCCGGAAGAGGCACCTACACTACAGAGTGGAAGGTGAAAAAGACAGGAAAGAGGGAGGTTTCCTAAGAGTGACAAGGGTGTGTTTGTGCATTGTCCCCAGGAGTAGCACTGCCTCAGCCTGTTCCATCACAGCACAACCCCCTTATAGGCAGGACTTCAGGGGGAATGGCTTCCAGGGCCCACTTCAGAGCAGGGCTGTCAGGCTGCAGTTCGATTCCCTTGCTAAGAGCAAAGCTGTCTGGCTCTGTGGACTCTTCCCTTTTAGACACTCAATGTATCACGGCAACTACTTGCAGACTCAACTCCCAGTGGCTTTTTTGAATTTTCTGCTCTCTGTAAGACACTCAGGATTTTTGTATTCCCTGAGGTGGAGTAGATGGAAGGGATGACTCACAGCAGTTTTAGAAATAGAATACTGTCTGAGAAGAATGGGGAAGTTGGAATTTGGTATAACTCTAGCATAAAGGCAAGGTATCATTTCTTACATCCCCAACAGGGTAGAATAGAGTGTATGTGTATCCAATTAACCCAATATGGGAGAATTCTGATGAAATACCTTGGATTAAAAGCTGCGATTTTTGTAACAGTCGTGTGATTAACCTTTGGCCTGGAATGTCTGATGTCATTCTTTATAGGACTGAATTGGTGCAGATGCAAAAGCCTCAGCCGCTGAACCCAGAGCTCACTTCATGGTGCTTCCCTGGAATCCTAGACATGCTGAACAACTTCAGAGGTAAGTGTCCGCCCTTTGGCTTCAGGCCTCAATTTCTTTCCTGGTTTTTGGTAATGAGCCTTCTTCCATTTTAGTTTTAGTTTTGCTGACATGAAGGTGGTACATGACTTTCCAAAATTGTTATCTCTGTTCTCCCTATATAGTCACATCATAATAACCAAGACAGAACTTTGCAACTTATAGTGTACTGAAAATGCAGAGCAAGGTGCATACTTTTAATTACATCTGACATAGGCAGAACAGGAGAAGAGCATACAAGTTGATCATGTGGTTTTGAAGAGTGGGGAGATTTACTTCCCAGAGTAGCCACCGATAGTGTGTTTCAGTTTACTCCACTCTTAAAAGTATAAATATGGCATTGATGGCTTTTCATTTTTTCCATACTCCAACTGTATTTATCATGCACTGCACGAAGAATATTTACTATTTATAAAATCAGAAAGTTATAACTGAAAAAAATACCAAAATTGCAGGAACAGAACAATTTTAATACTCTTAGATTAATCTCAAAGCATCTGGAAGGAGAAGGCTCTGAGCATGGCTCAAGCATATTAGGCCCATTCTAGAGAGCAAGTCTAGACCCAGAGGGCTGAAATCAGGATCAAACTAATGTGGGTCCGAACAGGAAATATAAAGACAGGACATTCTTTTCAATAACTTCTAATCTATGCATAATGTGGATTTCTATCAAGTATCTGTGACAGGTACAGCTTATATCCCAATAAATACTCACATAATAGCAAAGTGCAGTCTATTTATTAAACAACATCAAGGACAATCAACACAAGAGGAGATTTCTCAAGTAAAGAAAAATGAGTTTTATGGTTGTCCTGAAAGAAACTACCTGGGGGTTGACATTAAATTATGGCTTAACACAGTTCAAGATACGTTCTTTTTTTTCCTTCTCTTTTCTTTTCTTTTTCTGTATAGGTTGAAGGATTTCTGTTTGCTGCACAGGTAGTGATAACTTTTGCTCTTCATAGATGTCAGTCAGAACTCTGTTTGCTGTCTTTATTTTGTATTTCCTTGGAGGAAAGGCAACTGAAAACACTCTGCTCTTCAGGACATGGAAATCCCATCAATGACCTGATTTTTGCCTCTTTCTGCAGTGCATGATATTCTGTATCAGGAAACGACCAGTCACTGTATTAACCTTCCTGAGGACGTGAGAAGTGTGATGTTTGGAGATAAGCACCAGAGCACATCCAGAGAGGCCCAGCAAGTGCAGAGTTTTGCAGCATGGGGAGCCCAGGCCTTCACCTCCGGTAGGCATTACTGGGAGGTGGACGTGCCGCACTCCTCGAACTGGATCCTGGGAGTCTGTAAAGATTCCTTGATAAGTGATACCGGTATCACTATTGATTTTGAAGAAGCTTCTCTCCTGTTTTCTTCGAAGATGAACAATCACTATCGTCTGTCCACTAACCCCCCACCCTTAATTCAGTATGTAAAAAAGCCTCTGGGTAAGGTTGGAATCTTTCTCGAGTATGACAGTGGAACCGTGAGCTTCTATGATGCTGGCAAAGGTTCCCTCATATGTAGTTTAGTTTCTTCCTCCTTCTCTTGCCCTCTGAAGCCTTTCCTTTGCTTTGGTTCCCCATGAGAAGTCATGTTTGACCATTTCTTAGATGAATTTCCATGTCAAAGGAAATTATTGTCCTGAACCATCATTTGAGGCAGCAGGACGATGCCTGACTATCTTTGAGCACATTGCAACTTAAGGAAATACAATTATTATATGCTTATAAAATGCATAACCACACTGAATGTAAATGTGTTAAATTTTCTTTTAATAAAAATTGTTTATAATTGGACACTTCCTAGAACATAATCAATGGCTTTTTCTTTTTAAAATAACAGTGGTAGTAAGATGAAATGTACATATAGTCACAATTTCCTCCTAAATACTAATATAAAATTGTCATAAAAGTTATAATTCACTTTAGTTCCAAAACCTGCTTTTCACTTCAGCATGCATTTGCTTAACAATTACCACACTCTGTCACCAATTCTTCAAATCCCCCATTCTATATTCAAGAACACTTTGCCTCATCTCACCCGGTACAATGAACGTGATCTTCCTTTTCAAAACACAATTGTAAATATGAGCTGCTGGAGTGTAATAGGTTCTGCCAAACTTTAGTAGGTTTTTAATAAATAATCTTGGATAATTAATTTAAATTTTAATGTAAAAAATTCTTTGAAAGTGTTACAAAATACATAATGTAGATTTTGTTAAATTAGCTTTGTTTTTTGACATAGGTATAAATTGAAGCTTTTTTGAAATTTACATTGAGTAAATAAGCAGACAAGTGATGCAGAAGATATTGACAATATTTTTTAAATGCAATTATGGTACACAAGCCAAGTATCCTTCAATGGATATTTGGATAAAGAGGTGGTACATTATATGATGGAATACTACTCAGTGACAAAAAGGTGAAATATTGCCATTTGAAACAAATTGGATTGATCTTGAGAGTATTATGCTAAGGTGAAATAAGTGAGATGGAAAAGGACAAGAACCATATGATTTCACTCATAAAAAAGATATAAAACAGAAAGCAACAAAGCAAACAAACCAAAATGAACTCATAGATATAGACAATGGAATAGTAGCTACCAGAGAAGTCTGGTGGGAGAACAAAGACGGTAAAGGGTGTCAAATATATGTTGAGAAAAGACTAGACTTTGGGTGGTGAGCATAAAATACAGCATAAAGGTGTCACTTGTAAAGGTACACCTGAAATTTATATGATGCATTAGCCAATATTTTCCCAATAAATTTAATAAATATACAATGATTGTAATACACAAATACACAGACTGCTAATACAGTCTCTAAATACCCTGCTTCCTCACACACAGATGACATTTTCTCAACCGGTGAAAAATCAGATGGGTTTTAAACTGAACAAGTGCCCCTGATATCCTAGTGCCATTTTAACTGCTGAGAACAAGCACAACAGTGAATACAAGAGACACTCACTTTATCTCTGGTAATTTATACTGTTGTAAAATTAAAGGACCACTGGTGAACAACAGCTAGACCTGGAGCTGGGCTGCTGTGAGTCACCAGCGATGGTGTACGCTGCAGTGGGCTGCCATAAGCTACCGTGCGTGGCCGGCAACCAGCGTGAGCGGCCAGCAGCCGGTGAGAGCTGCCAAGAGCCGCCGTGAGCTGGGAAGAGCACAATGATAATACCAACATGGGCCAGTGAAGCGACGTCCTCCACAACTAGACTGAAGAACAAAAACAGCAACTTGTCTGTTCCCCTTTCCCAATTCCCCAATAAAATCTTTAAAAAAAATTTTTTTAAATTAAAGGACCATATATTCTGGATTCTCTAAAACAAAAGCCTGTTATGGTCCTGAGGGTCAGTGGAGACTTTAATGTCAAATCTATTTTAAACGCTGAAGGTTAAATAGATGTGCAGAATGGATTAAATCAAGAGGAAGGAATAGAAGTTGGAGACTGACATGGCCATGATAGATGAACAGGTCTGCTTATGATATGCAAACTCTGTTTTCCTGCATTAGGACCATGAAGTAAGAATCACAGTCATATCTATTTTGGTGACTCCAGCAAGCTCACAAAACAGGTAAGCAACCACAGCATATATTCTAAATAATAAACTACAACATATGATTTTAATGTCCAGAAAATGGAAGCAACAAAATTTTGTATTTCACACTATTGTCATATTAAATAACAATGAAAAAAGTAAAAGAAGTATAAAAGACAATAAAATATCATTGGTTTGCTTCAACTGAGAAGGGCTTCCTCAGATAATAGTTTCCTGACTTAACCCTTCTCATGTGTGGCCAGTGTCAATGAAAGGCCTGACAGGGAAGTTGAATATGCCATGGGGGTATGCCCAAATAAGGGAACGCTTTTCAACATCCACAAAACTCAAACTTCCCCTGTCAGCATCAAGAAACACACCAACCCTGCCCAGAGGTTTCTCTATGAACTGACGAGTCATTGGGGCAGTGGTCCACAGAGTGTAACCATTATCCTCCTTCACACATAAAAGAAGGAGTGTGTCCTGAGACCCAATCAGTGTGCCATTCTTCCTTAGACAGGACTCCTTACAGACCCCTACAGCCCAGTTTTAAGAGTTGTCAACATGCAGCTCCCAATAATTTTTGCCAGAGGTGAAGACCTGGGCTTCCCATGAGGCGTAATAGGTAGATGGTCCAGGATCCAAAGACACACATAGACTGTCACCCATAAACCTCAGACTTCTCATATCGTCAAACAGCCTGATATTGTGATTGGTTACTTCATTAGTGAAAGAAATTTCCACTGTGGAAAGAAGAGAATATTCGGGTCAAAATCAATGTTAAAAATTAAGTTGTCTATGAGATAATGGGTCTTTTTAGCATCTCTCTAGGAAAAAAAATCCAAAGATACAATGGCAGGTCTGGCTGGAAAATATTGGATTCAAATGATGCCAGCATGTCTCCTGAAGAAACAAATACATAATTACAATAGAAACAACTTTCTAGAAATTCAGAGATTAAAAAGGAGGGGTAGGTCATGTCTACATGTGGCTGGTTATTTTCTTGACACCTGAAAAGCTAGACACCTGTACAGTGCCTCCAAATCCATAGCAATATAATTTACCTCCACCACCCCTTCTCAGGGGGAAAAATTACATCTTAGAACAAATAAAAAGGATATTTTACCAGGATGTGACAATATTCCAGTTAAGTAAACAAATTGACCCTGAAGAAGAAAACCTAAAGATGCCTTCTTACAAGTGGTTTCCTACTAAGCGTTGTCGGCCTTTGATAGCGGGCTCCACCTGAGGACTAGATTTCCCCTTTCTGCTAAACTCACCCTTCAGGTTTAGGTTTACCATGGAACTGTGTATATGGCCTCAGCCACCACAAACTTACTTCAGTGTTGTTCATAAATTCTTGGCTTCTGCACTAATGTTTTTATATGCTTTTTTCTGAGTATATCATAACATAATATGTTATGCCTTTATCTCTCACTGGATTTGATTAGTCAATATCTTGTTTAGAATTGTTGCATCTATGTTTATGTGAGAATCTGTATTGTAATTTTCTTTCTTTTTTTTTTTTTGTAATTCCCTTGCTAGGTTTGAATATCAAAGTTATGAATTGGGAAGTCTTATCTCTTTCTGTTCTCTGAAAAAGTTTGTCTAAATTTGTATTATTTCTTTCCCAAACTTTTAGAAGATTTCACTGAAAGAGGTCATGAATTTACTTTGTTTTTTTAAAATATATGGTTTAATTTCTTTATAAATTGTATCTCTCAGATTCTTTATTTCTCCTTCTGCCAGCTTTGACAAGATATGTTTTTCAAGGAATTTTTTCATATCATCTAAATTTTCAAATGTATAGGCATAAAACTGTTTATAAAGTCCTCTTATTGTCTTATTAATGTCCAAGGAATGGACATATTTGCCTCTTTATTCTTGATATTATATTCTTGATTTGAACACCACCCCCATTTTTTTGGTTGAGTTTTACTAAGGGTTTATAAATTTAACCGATTTATTCAAAGAGCCATTTTTTGATGTGGTTGACTTTATCTATTGTACTTTTTCAATATCTGCATTTTCTGCAATTATTACTACTTTATTCCTAGTTTATTTGGCATGGGTTTGCTTTTCTTTCTTTTTTTTTTTTAAAGATTTTATTGGGAAATTGGGGGAAGGGAACAGTGTTGGGGAATTGGGGAAGGGGACCAGCCAAGTTGTTGTTCTTCAATGTTCGTTGTGGGGGGCGCCAGTCGCCATCTGGCTTCCCGTCGGCAGCTTGTGGCCTCTAAGCTCAAGGTGCTACATTCAATCTTAGTTGCAGGTGGGCATAGCCACCATCCCATGCGGGAGTTGAACCAGCAGCCTCATTGTTAAGAGCGCACGCTCTATCCACTGAGCCATCCGGGCGGCAGCTCAGCTCAAGGTGCCAAGTTTAGTCGTAGTTGCAGGTGGGTGTAGCCCACCATCAAACAGGCATTCTTGTTGTTACACCAGCTGAGCCATCCTGCTACCTGTTGGCAGCTCAACAACAGGTCAACTCAGGCGCAATGTCACTGGCCCATGTGGGAATCAAACCGGCAGTCCTGTTCCTCAGAGCTCACACTTTTAAGCCAACTCTTCAACTGAGCCACTCGGCCGGCCCTGATTTTTTTTATCTATCTCTTTGAGATGTGCTTTTCTTCTTTTACAATATATTCATTTAATGCTACAAAATTTCCAATAAGCAGTGCTTGAATTGCATCCCAGATGGTTTGTTTGGATGCATCCTTAATATTAGTCAATTGAAATATTTCCATTATTTTATTTTAAATCTGTGCAACTGCATGAGAACTATGAAGGAGAATAGATGATGAGTGGCAAAAAGGATAGGCTGTGCCAGACAGGGACTTGTATGTGCTCAGCTTTTTTCTTCACCTTCTGCTACCTACTTTGCTTTATCACAGGTAGCCTGACACTGCAGGCTGAGATCCCCAAGCTTTTGCACAAACTGGCTTCTAGCAGGTACTAGAAGGGCATTAGAGGGTGAGAGGAAGGGGGAAGTCACTATATTTCTCCTGTTCTCTACCTGGGGTACCATCTCCTTCATGGTTCCAGCCTTCCTCCATGACTTTGACTTTGAGGGCTGGTAATATCACAGCTTCCCTAACTCCATGGTCTAGGGTGGCAGTGGCTCCCTGCTGATGTTAATCTCTGGTTGTTTCACTGTCTCTTGTTTGGCTTCTCAGCTCTTCCTTCACTGGTATAACCAATTCATTTCATTATATCCTCTGTGTTTTAAATCCTAAAGTGATTTCAATTTTCTTGTTTAGATTCTTACAGATCTAGCTCTCTTTTATATTTTTAAAGCTTCAAGACCACAAATTATAATGAGAATCAGTACCAGATAACAAAATGTACTTTACAAAGTGAAATAAATACAGTAATCTGTTCTAAAGTGGACTGAGGGTGCCCTATTTGTGTTTCTGAGAGGAAGACACAATCTTTTTCTTGTTGTTTTGTTTTGTTTTTGTCACAGGTTTTATTCACACATAACTATGTTGTCAACAAGTTTGAAATAGAGTGTTTTTTTAAGCTACATCTACAAATTAAAGGTTCTAAAGATATATAAAGCACTGTATTTCACTACCTATGTTTCCAGCTGATTCAACATAATTATCCAATTTCTAGAAA